ACCGGGACACCTCACACCAGCGCCCGCAACTTCCCCACAAGGTCACCGCTGCCGCCCCTCGGCGCTCTGCCGCCCCGAGGCCGGGCCTCGGTGGCCTTGTGGGAAATCCGGGCCTGCCCGCGGCCACTTCCTGTTTATAAGAACTCCAGTGACCGCTGCATGACATTTCTCAGGGCGGGTTTCCTGATGGTGACAACAGTGGACCATTGCTGGGCATTGTGTGTTGAAATGGGCACTGATGGGTAGTCATCATCAGAAGCCCTTTTGACAGGGTGACCACGCATTGAGTGAATGTCCTGCTGCACTCCTAATTGGTGCTTCCTTAGTTGGATAGGTGCTGAAGTCAGTGGCGTCACTAGGGGGGTGCGGCCCATCATTTTGGTGTCACCCCCCTCTGAAAAATCAGGCGCTCGTTCATGGACCGGGAGCCCAATAGTTGCACGAGAGAGGAGGGGACCCCGGTGGCATACCTTATCCCGCCGGGTGAACGTCCTCTCCTCTCTCTGCCGGCGTCCATCACCAAGATGGCCACGCGCGCACGGGACGTCATTGCGTGCGTGATAATGTCACGGCGGGGTGTCACCCGGCTCAGGGTGACACTCGGCCTTGGGACACCCCTGGCTGAGGTGATTCTGCAATTGGCAGTGCATGCATACAGTGAACAAAAAAACATGCCACCAGGGTCCCTCCATCAGGGACAGTATGACCTCACTATACCTGATGAAAGGATCTTGCACGGCCCCGTCGCATTATTGTTGTCTTACATGACGCAGAAATTTCAATGAAGGCGTTTTCTGGATAAAGCCTTTTGGTGTGCTGGTGACATATTCTTTATTCACAGATTGACAACGCAGGAGTTCAATTGGGAGATAGGGACAGAGCGTTGTCACTATATAACAGGAAGTTCCTGGACAAGGACCCTCATGGCAGGATCATCAGGTATTTAGGAACCCCTCTGAACAATCTTGGCGTTGAGGCCATCAAGACATAGGAACTCATTGGGAAGCAATGGCGTAACAATAGCCATGCGGCTGCTATGGGGCCTGGGGGTGGAAGGGGGCCCCAATAAGGATTGCAGAAGTTGCTGCTGACACTGACATTATTATTTAAGTAGAGTTGACTTCAGATATATGGGGGGGGGGGGGACTATGCAGGCAGCTCTCCTGCTACCTGACTTTAATATAAATGACAGTAGGGAGGTTGCTGGGGACCCCATGAAAATGTTGCTATGGGGCCCCATGATCTGTGGTTACAGTGGCGTCACAAGGGGTGTGCGGCACGCACCCGGGTGTCACCATTGCAGGGGTGACACCAAAATGACTCACAGTCATTTTGGTGTCACCCCCTCTAAAAAGAAGGGCCCGACAGTGTCAGGAGAGAGGAGGGGACCCGGCGGCATACTTCATCCTGCCGGGTGAACATCCCCTCCTCTCCCTGCCGGCGTCCATCACCAAGATGGCCGCCGGGAGGCGTCAATCAGACGGTCACGCATGCACGATGAACTCATTGCGCATGCGCAAGGTGACGTCACGTGCAGGCGCGATGACGACACGGCGGAATGCCACCCGGTCTGGGACGCCCCTGTGTGGTTACACCCCTGTTGGGAAGGCAGCACATTCATTACGGTTCCCTTTCTGGGGTGATACGTCATCTTTTCGGTGTGATTATCTTCTTTTTCTGCACTTATTCTGAGTATGGAATTTCGTAATGTTGGGTAGAATTTACCGGGTTTTCTTTTTATTAAAATGTCCGTAACTCCCATCTTTCTGATATGAAAAGAGAGACACCTTGTAGCACAAAGTATATAACAAAGGACACGCCCGCCAGTGTGAGCACCCCTGTCAGTGTCCAATGGTTTGCCCCAACCTTCCATCTGCCAATTTTGCTGGCCAGCTCAGCCGCCTGGTAAAGGAAGTTGAAAAATAACAATCTTACTGGCCGGATTGTAGGCGGGGTTCACTCTTGGGGTGTTGCGTGTGTGTTCCCTTTGGCTTGGCTGGGTAACCCCGTGCATGCAACTCGAAACCAGACACCCCACAGTCAGGGGCCACGGCCTTGGCCTCGTGCAAACACTCCCTCACGTGTAGTACTGCGTACACAGGGCCTCATGGCTTCAACCGCCTCTGCGGCCTTCGGCGCTTCCTCCCCCTTAGGGAGAAAGGCCACCATGAACGGCACCGTGTCAGGCATTGCCCCATTGCGCACCTACCCTCCTCAGATGGTTACAGCCACGATACCGTCCAACATCACGCTCCGGTTGAACCCCACCCTTTCAAAGGTTGGAGGGAGAAGAACCAGCCCACACAGATAGTCTTTTTGTTGATTTTACTTGAAGGTAGAACAGAATAAAGTATACGTTTCAGCCACCCCCGGATGGGATGACGGCACAATTCTTGTTACTTGCATGGTAATACACTTTAGAGAGAGAGAGGTACATCAGCCCAGGTGCGGCCCAGAGTCACGACTTACTTCGGCCATAGGCCCACTGGCAAATATCGTCAGTCTTCTAGCACTTCACTATTCACCGGAATCCCATCCATTGTCAGTCCTAGCACGGTGGGTTTCCCCCTGTGGGGAAACTAGGGAATCCTCGTAGCTCTACATAGTCCTAGGCCTGGTCCTGTCCTTCCCATGGACCAGCCTATATTCAAGAAACAGTCTCCCTCCAGAGACTCTGCAGACAGTCTTAGACTTCTTCTGTACTCCTCTGAAC